GGTGACTCTGGGGACAGGTGGGGACCCCCAACCCCTCCCCTGAGCCCCCCAATCCCCCCCAGGCTGCAGGAGCTGGTGAGGAGGGGGAACAGTCAGTACCCGGGGGCCAAGTACATCATCAGGGACAACGGGGACAGGATCGACCTGCGCTTCCACCCCAAACCCAGCGACCTCCACCTGCAGATCGGCTACAAGGTGGGCACCCCAAAAATGGGGGGACACCCCCAGAGCCAGGGACACACCCCCAGACCCGGGAGAGACCCCCAGACCCAGGGACACCCCCCAGGAGAAACCCTCAAGCCTGAGCTTCCACCCCAAACCCAGTGACCTCCACCTGCAGATCGGCTACAAGGTGGGCACCCCAGAGCCCCCCGGGGCACCCCAAAACCACCCAGGGCACCCCAAAACCACCCAGGGCACCCCTAGGCCCAGGGACACACCCCGAGACCCGGGAGAGACCCCCAGACCCAGGGACACACCCCCAGACCTGCACTTCCACCCCAAATCCAGCGACCTCCACCTGCAGATCAGGTACAAGGTGGGCACCACAGAGCCCCCTGGGGCACCCCAAAACCACCCAGGGCACCCCAAATTCCCCCAGGGCACCCCCAGACCCAGGGACACACCCCAGACCCAGGGACACACCCCCAGACCCGGGAGAGATCCCTAAACCCCAGGACACACCCCAGGAGAAACCCTCAAACCTGCGCTTCCACCCCAAACCCAGCGACCTCCACCTGCAGATCGGGTACAAGGTGGGCACCACAGAGCCCCCTGGGGCACCCCAAAACCCCCCAGGGCACCCCCAGAGCCAGGGACACACCCTGAGACCCAGGAGAGACCCCCAAACTCAGGAACACCTCCCCAAACCCAGGGGAAAACCCCAGACATGCACTCCCACTCCAAGCCCAGCAACCTCCACCTGCAGATCGGGTACAAGGTGGGCACCCCAAAAACATGGGGACACCCCAAGAACCAGGGGACACACCCTGAGACCTAAGGGACACCCTCAAACTTGATTTTGGGGTTCAGAACTCTGGATTTTGGGGCTCAATCCCAGATTTTTCAGGCAGGGGGGAGATTTGGGGCCTAAACCCGGGTTTTATCCCCCCCCAAAGATGCTGTTTTTTGGGGTTCCCCCCCGATTTTGGGGAGCCCCCTTTTACTGGGGTTTCCCCCTGATTTTTGGGGTACTGGGGGGTTTTTGGGGTGCAGGTGGAGCGTCACATGTGTGATGGAGACACCCCTAAACCCGGGGGGGGACACACCCAAACCACACAATTTGGGACCTAAACCTGGGTTTTATCCCCCCTGAAGATGCCATTTTTTGGGGAACCCCCCCGATTTTGGGGAGCCCCCTTGTGCTGGGGTTTCCCCCTGATTTTTGGGGTTCCTGGGGGGGTTTTGGGGCGCAGGTGGAGCGTCACATGTGTGATGGGGACATCGTGATCTTCAACCGGCAACCGACGCTGCACAAAATGTCCATGATGGGCCACAGGGTGAGGATCCTGCCCTGGTCCACCTTCCGCCTCAACCTCAGGTGGGCACCCCAAAAACTGACCCTGAACCCCAAAAACTGACCCCCCTGATCCTGCCCTGGTCCACCTTCTGCCTCAACCTCAGGTGGACCCCCCAAAAACTGACCCTGCACCCCAAAAACTGACCCTGAACCACCAAAACTGACCCTGAAACCCAAAACTGACCCTGAAACCCAAAACCTGACCCTGAACCTCCAAAACCTGACCCTGAACCTCCAAAAACTGACCCTGAACCCCAAAAACTGATCCTGAACCACCAAAAACTGACCCTGGACCACCAAAACTGACCCTGAAACCCAAAACTGACCCTGAAACCCAAAACCTGACTCTGAACCTCCAAAAACTGACCCTGAACCTCCAAAAACTGACCCTGAACCACCAAAACTGACCCTGAACCACCAAAAACTGACCCTGAACCCCAAAAACTGATCCTGAACCACCAAAAACTGACCCTGGACCACCAAAAACTGACCCTGAAACCCCAGAACTGACCCCCCTGATCCTACCCTGGTCCACCTTCTGCCTCAACCTCAGGTGGACACCCCCAAAAACTGATCCTGAACCCCAAAACTGACCCTGAACCACCAAAAACTGACCCTGAACCTCCAAACTGCCCCTGATCCTGCCCTGGTCCACCTTCCGCCTCAACCTCAGGTGGGCACCCCCAAAAACTGACCCTGCACCCCAAAAACTGACCCTGAACC